CGCCTCCGATCCAAACGAACAGTTTTCTGAGCTTGATTAAATAAATGCTTTGTTTATAATGAGGAGGACGTTTTAAACTATGAAACGTGCAGGATGTTTTAATGGTACAAAGACCTCTTATATGCTAAAAGATCAAGGCAAATTAGATTTCTCAACACAAGATGTTTCAATACAAGCATTTCAGTCAAATGTAATTTATGCAATATTTGGAAAAGAAGACGTATGGTCACCCTAATTTATAATCCATTGCTAATCGATGTATTTTTAATGTAGCATATGTCTGGTGTTGTGGAGTAAAAAGGTTATAATTTTCTCTTTTGTTGGACAACAGCTTTAGAAATGTGAATACAAGGGAAGTTTAGCTTTAGGCATTTTAGTTTAAGCATGTTTAGCTTAGTTAACGGAAGGCTACCTGCTGCCATCAGAGCAAGTGTAATTACTGCATTCACGCGCTCCTCGATGCTCTCATTTCCCGAGCTGTGCTTTTAAGTCTGAATGTGAAAACAACATGACACTCGCGTTACTACAAAGATGTGTTGGATTTGTATTATTAGAGCTTTCCGGAGTTCACGTGCATTTTCTCAGCCGGGAAATTATTTTTCACGTGCGGTGCCGGTGATGATGTTTCGGAGAACCTGAGGACAAATATTTCAATCGATCGCTCAGGCATGGCACCGAAATCTGCGTTCTGATTCGGTTCTGGTACATACCGGTTACATAGGTACCGGTGCCATATTGGTACCGGGTTTCGGTTCCCAACCCTAAAATTAAATAAATGCACTATATACAGGAGTAAAAATGTAATTATTTAAATGAGTGTGAGTGTGAGTGAGTGTGTGTGTGTGTGTGTGTGAGTGAAGTGAGTGAGTGTGTGTGTGTGTGTTTGTACACGGGCGTCCGGTGTCACGTGTGGCTTTGCTAGTGGTTTCCATGGTAACCGTGCGTGTGTGTTTTGTGTGGATCAGACCTGTGCAAGTCTAAACCGCGTGTGTTTGGTTCTCCTGAGATTGTTCGGCTGAATGCTGTGAGGGAGGGTTATTCTAATATCATGGGTCTGATTCTGGGACCCGGATGGATACGAGTGTGATTGTGATTGAGTTCAGCTCCAGCGCTGATCCCAAACCTGTCCTCGAGTCCTTCACTCACTTATTAGACGACAGTGGTGTGTGTGTGATCGTCGCAGACGCTGACAGAGTCTCATGCAAGTTTTATAATGACAGTCCAGCGCTGGTGATGTGAGCGGGTCATTACTCACATACACACGAGTGTGTGTCGCCTGTCCAATCACACACAGACAGACACACACACACAGACACACACACACTCTCATACACACACACACACACACACGTCCCCACGGTGCTGCTCGCTGTCAGGCTGCTGTAATTAACGAACATACAGCGTCGCTGGCCTGTCACACTCTTGCTGTTGCTATAACAACAGCATGGAAATGAAGCTCGCCTTAATATTTTTACATTTCTAATCAGGAGAGAGAAAACCAATTTCTTTCCTCCAGCAGCAGCGATGTGCCGTATTAGCATTCCTCACCACGGACTTCAGTCCGGTTCGTTAAAGTGACCCTGACGCTGACGGATCCAGTTCTGCAAAACCTGTCAGTAACTAACAGGACACTACAGGCAAAAACAGTTTTTCATGCATTTTTCAATTTTGGGCTTTTTGGCTTTACATAAAGTTTTGAAAGATAACATCCAAAATACAAATTTAAGTCTTTATTTTATTAAACTTTATCTATTTGCGTCTGTAGATTTCAATGCCAATCCATATGTTTAAAAGTTTGTTACTCCACTTCAGCAGCGCATACACCAAAACGTACAGTTTTATTCCTCTCTATATTCTGAAGGTTTCTTCATATTTAATTCACACTGATTTATACAACAGTTTACTACTAAAAACATGGTGAAATGTGTTTTTTTTTCTGACAGTATTTTCTGATTTATGGAGTGATAAAAAGAGAAATCCAGAATATCCTCTGAAAAAACCTTTAACTCTAATATGACAACAAAATCAAACAAGAATTATGAACCAATGCTCAGATTTCTGTTCTGGAAATGAGTGCATATTTCATTACATAATGTTGAATTTGCATATTTAAACATAACATTTCAGAAAACATATCATACAAAAAAGTTTCTTCAATGAAGTTAATTTTTACTCTATTCACCTGTAGTCTATAAATCTGCTTGTGTTGTAGTGTAGGGACGTGTTTCTGCTCAGAATCTGCTCTGATCAAGATCAGACATTTGATTATTTACACAGTGACCCTGATGGAAATAAAGAGCCAAAGTCGGTCATTACTCTGAGGGACTGACAGCTTGCTTACATTCACTGATTTTCATATGTTTTATATTCATATCTTTTGAAATGTTGATCTTATCGAACCGGTTTGTGTCATTTGATCAAACAGGGTTTAATATTTGGGCACAAACCAAATTACACCACAAACATCCCAGAACTCATTAGATCCAATGATAATATACTTATAGAGGCTTGTGCCGCTGTTACCTTCCGAAATGATGTCACTTCCTTTAGGATGAAGTCATTAAAGGGGTCATATGATGCGATTTCAATTGTTCCTTTCTCTTTGGAGTGTTACATCATCACGGTATGTTAGGGGCGTAACATTTCCGTCACACGCTTGAGGTATTCGGCCAATCACAACGCACTGGATAGCTGGCCAATCACAGCACACCTCACTTTTCAGACGATGAGCTTTGTAAAAATCGACGCGTTTCAGAAAGGCGGGGCATAGAGGAGAAACAATAATGTACAGTATGTGGAAAATAATGTGTTTTTTAAACCTTAAACCGCATAAACACATTTCATTACACCAAATACACAAAATAATGTTCTTTTTAGCAACATCATATGACCCCTTTAAGAACTGGCTTTTGTTAGTTAAAGGGATTCTGCATCTCTGTTTGGAAGCAGACAAGGCATGGAAATGTTTTTTATTAGTAGCAAAGTTGAAGAAGATTTGGATTTGGAAACCTACATTGAGAGAACAATTGCTTCTGTAAACAAACTTTTGCATCTCTCTTCAGTGTTATGTAAGATTATTTTTCGGACATTAATTTGACTATAAACAAATACTTGTTTTGAATGTTCTTACCATACTGAATGAAAAAGGATGCAGGAAACTAATATGATTAACACTATCTTAAGACAGACATGATGGGCACATGAAACTGCTTTTGAGAAATAGCATATAATGTGATTTTGTGTGTGTGTGTGTGTGTGGTGTGAGAGAGTGTGTGTGTGTGTGTGAGAGAGAGTGTGTGTGTGTGTGTGTGTGAGAGAGTGTGTGTGTGTGTGTGAGAGAGAGTGTGTGTGTGTGTGTGTGTGAGAGAGTGTGTGTGTGAGAGTACAATGCGTCCTCTGTTTGCGTTTCTGCTGCTGTGATGAATGTATTCATGTGAATTGTCCTGCGGCTCCGTGTGTGTTTGGATTCTCACAGTCGAATCTCCTCCGTGTGCCAGAATCGTCTCGTTGACCTGCGGCCTTGAGCGCCACATCCAAACGTTTGGGATTAGTTACAAATTAATACAAACCTGTTTCACATTTTTCTGCCAACTAGAAACTTTCTTTTCTCTCTCTGCTCTCGGTCTGTGATTCTAGCTAAAGCTGTTGGTAAGTCTTCTGTCTTAGTTGAGCTGTTGGCTTTGCTTCTGGAATGCCTGAACTCATGAACCTTCTGTGCAAAGGCATAGTCTCGCCTCAGTCTCTCTGTTGAAAAGTGAGTCTTTTTGTTCATCAGAGGTGTTTGTTTAATTGTAGTCTGAACCACACTGCAGTTGCAGATACTGCTGCTTAGACAGTGTTTTCATATGCATAATTTTTGAGTTTCAGCAGCACTTACATACAACAAAACTTTCAGTTTTATTCCCATCTATATTCTAAAGGTTTTTACTGAGGGGTTTGTTCAAATATCATTCACACTGATTTATACAACCTTTTATTCCCCAAAAAACATGGTGAAAATGCATATCTTTAAAGGTTGTGAGTTTGTTTCTCCACTTACACACACCAAAACTTAGTTTTATTCCTCTCTATATTCTGAAGGTTTGTTCATATATCATTCACACTGATTTATACGACATTTTACTTCTAAAAACATTGTGAAAATGTGTTTGTTTTCTGTCTGTTGGCGGTATTTTCTGATTTGTGGGCGTGATAAAAAGAGAAATCCAAAATCCCCACTGGAAAAACCTTTAACTCTGTCAACAAAATCAAACAAGAATTTTGAACCTGACTTTATCCAATGTTAAGAATTTTGCTCTGGAAATTCTATATTTAGAAAATCTTTAGACAGACTTTAAAATCAGAGACTTCAAGAACTCTTTAAGGACTATTTTATTCCCTGAAGTCCACTTATAATGCATATAATTCAATTCAGTTCACGTTTATTTGAATAGCGCTTTTCACAATTCAAATTGTTGCAAAGCAGCTTTACAAAAAGTGTAAGTTTCTACATTATATTTAGTAGTAGCTTGTCAGTGGTGACTATGTCATCTCTTCTCAGGTGTTCGGTCATCTCAGATCTTCGTAAGGGCTGGATCCAGGCTGAAGCTTGTGTAATTCCTAGTTACCACGGGATGCCCATCCCGTATAATCAGTTATAATTAATCGAGGGGAACTTTCTGTCATGAAAAGTTACAGTATATTTACATTGTCAAGAGTACTCTTATTTCAAAACATTAAAAAAAATGGTGCATTACGCAATTGGCAGAAACTTTCATCTAAAGCCAGTTACAGTGCATTCAGGGTAAAGATTTACTCCGAATGTGTGTTCCATGGGAATCAGACCCACAGCACTGGGATTGCTTGTGCCGTGCTCTACCAATTACAGGATCTGACTGGTGTCACTGATCTCAGTCTGTTAAAGTCTAATAAAGTCTTTCTGTATCTGTGCAGGTGAGCTCTGTGTGACGAGCCTCCATGACACCCTGTTTCGCCGCTGAAGCTCCCTGTCTGAGGGAGCATCTTATGCCATCTGCCCAAATGCTGGGTCTTCACTCCTATCCCCCCGTTCCCCATTAAACTCCCTCACCAGACCATCCCTGCCACAGTCACCATACTCATCATGTCAAGCCGAAGGAAGTCGTCCAACCCCTGTGTGCTCCGTGCAACCAGTTTCACTGCAGAAGACTCAGTGGAAACGGATGTTTCAGCAAAGACCGTGTTGGGCAGATATTCACCTGTGCCGCTCACAGCAGACGAAAACTGCACATCACTGAATGATATGGAAGAGGAGCAGTCCGAGGGGGGTTCTGCATCGGAGCAGAACTTTAGAGATCATGAGTCTGAAGGTCCAGTCAGTACACTCTACCTTTGTACCATCTGCGATTTCAGTACCAACAAGTCTGACTCCCTCTCATGTCATAATAAAGTTCAACACCCAGGTGAGAGCCATTTTAAGGTCAGGCATATCAATCTGGATAGCCAAAGTATCTTGGAGCAAACCATTGAGAGTGAGAATGAAGGATCCCTTCCAGACATCATATACGACTCCGGACTGTTTGGAGACTCCAGCAATCCAGAAGATGAAGAAACTGGAAAGACACCAATGGAAAACAGCAGCATTTTGGAGAAAGGACTGGATGTGGAGAAGGAGCTGGACAGTCCAGTGCTGAAGGATGAGATCAGAGCTGTGAGGGTAAATGGTACAATCATTATTCCAGAGCCTACGAGTCACGTAACACCTCTGCTACAGCGACCTCCCAATCTCAGCACCTCTCCAACAATCGCAGTTCCTATTCACACCAACAAGTACAACCCCATATTGGACAGCAATGTCAGCCTGATCACATCATTTAGCCGATTCCCATATCCGACCCACGCAGAGCTCTCCTGGCTCACTGCTGCTTCCAGGCACCCTGAGGACCAGATCAAGGTATGGTTCACCACTCAGCGACTGAAGCAGGGCATCACCTGGTCCCCTGAAGAAGTGGAAGAAGCCCGTAAGAAGATGTTCAATGGCAGCATAGCACCTGCACACCAGATCTGTAAAATCTGGCCTGCACCATTTGGAGGACCACTCAACCCTTGTCAAGCTACTTGTCATGGATTTGGGCAGACCAGCCTTGCATCAAACATCACAACTGATAGATCGCCTACTACTTGTACGCCTGGCATTGCTACAGCAGTCTGTCAGGCACAGACGCTTAAGCGCACTCTAGGAACTCCACTCTTGGCTTCAGAAGTCAAACGCCCAACCGGAGACCCCAAAGAGAGTCTGCGCATGCCCCCTCCACCAGCTCCACCTTCAGAAAGACTCGCTATCGCTTCTTCTTCTGGGCTTTCAGAGACTAGAACATCTAGCCCTGATTCTTTGGTGGCCTCAGACATGAAGAGACCTGTTGCTGCACATTTTGTCCCACCTAAAGGGAACCCCCCAATGGCTCAATCTAAAGAGAAGATACCTGTGGCATTTCCTTCAGAGCTGCCCAAAGAAAGACTCCCTTTGTCACCCATAGTGTCCACCAATCTCAAAAGATCTGTAATTGATCAGCAAATGAGAAATCATACTTCACCCTCTTCGTTTGTTGCTAAAAACAAGTTTGGTAATGGTATAACCATGACCTTGGCACCAGCTGTGGCGACCCCACAAGAGAGTAAGCCAATGATCATGCAGACTCCATCGGCCGTGCCTCTGTCCTCGTCCCCGACACCAGTCCTTCAGTGTAAATCTATAGAGCCATCAGCTGCTCCAGCATTCACAGGCTTCAGTAGTCCGAATGGCAAAGAAATGCTCCATGGGGATGCTAAGCATTGGTATTTCGATCAAACTACAAATTCCCAGAATGATTCCCTGAACTCACGTGTTGAATTTGCTCTGAGGGAGCGTTCAGTTCCCACTCAGTTTCCTCTGCTAGAGAGAGTGAAGGACAAGAGTCCTGGACAAATGAAGCTTCTAGAGGAGAGTTTTCAGAGGAACAGTTTCCCGTCCTATAATGAGGTCGAACAGCTCGTGATCACCACTAGAATGGCCAGAGAGGAAATCGAAAGCTGGTTCTTGGAGCGCAGAGCACTTCGAGATGATTTGGAACAAGCCCTGCTAAACTCCATGGGCTCTAAACGGGAGTCCCAGCAGACTCTCCTCAATGGAGCTCCGAGACGTTCTGGCAACCTTTCCTTCAGCCCCGTGCCTCAAGTCAGCAAGTCTGCGAACCTTCTCAAAAATGTCTTTGTCCAGAACCGATGGCCTTCGCCCATAGAGTTCAGGCATCTGGAGATGCAGGCGCGGTTGGCTCGCACAGAACTTGTCCGCTGGTTCAGAGATAGTCGGCTACCTCAGCAGGGCCGCGTCCTAGACCGGAAGGAGATGTTTGGAGAGCGGAACGTCGCAACAAAACGACCGCTGAGAGAAGAGAACACCAAACCCAGCAGCCCAGAGATCGAAAACTGGTTTGGCAACACGGGGAGCAACGGGGAGCGGATTGGTGAGGGCAGAGAGGACTGTGAAGGGAACACATGTGAGCTGTTCTCAGACACAGATTAGAAGATGGAAGGTACGTTTAAGGATGAACAGAACGGTGTTGCACATGCTGTTGTGGCAAAAACTCTGAAACCTCAGTCATGTTAAAAACAGTGCCGTGCCTGTCATGAAAAGTGAAGCCAAAACATTTAAATCGCCATCTGGTGGCTGGCTGCAGTATAGGCCATAAATCCCCCGCTCTCCATAAACGAATAGGAATTAAGCTGAACTAAAAAAATCAAATTACACTTCAAATTTTCCCAAAGATGGTTTTCATCATTTTAGGTAGTTTTTATCACACTAATGTATGTTCAAGTGTTGGTTTTTCTAATAAGGTTGGTTTTTCTAGTAAGTTTGTAATTGGTGCAGATATAGTCGGTTGAACGTACTGTATCCGTGCATTGTCTTAAAGTGACAGCACTTTTTTAATGTTAATCAAACCGCAAAAACAAGGAAATCACTCACTGCTCTTGTTTTAAGCTTCATTAGGATTCATCTTTAATTTATACATACAACATGCAATGTTATTTTACATTTGATAACTTTATTCAATTTCTGTACCTAAAAAATGTTAGACCTACCTAAAAAAACTGAAAATCAGTGTTTATTTTATTTGTATCTTTGCTCTATTATATCTATTTGTGCTGTTGATTGTAATTAGATTATTTGTTCTTATTTTCTCTATTTTTATTTGAAAATATGGTCCTTTTTCCCCTAAAAATAGCACATACCGAACCGTACCGAAACCGTGACTCTAAAACCGTGAACTGTGAGTAACTTGAACCATTGCATCCCTACTGCGCAGACTAGTAGTGGATAGTTTGAGAAATGTCTCAGTTTTTGGTCCATAGTGAAAGTCAATGTTGTTTGGTTCCCAATGTTCTTTTTCGTTCCACCGAAGAAAGTCGTACAGGTTTGGTACGACATGTAATGAGTACACAAGAGTTACTGCCAAGTATCATGCTAGAGTTTTACCTGTTACTGTACATGGTCAGGACAGACTCAAAGATCACAGTGTAACTTTACACACACTAGGAGAGCAAGTGATTTTATATAATGCTTCAATCTTATTAGGCTATATTTTGGAAACGGTGTTTAAATTATGGTAGTCAACATTATTTCCCAAATGAGGCAGATGGGGCTTAACTTGCATTGAATCTGTATCATTCTTCTGAATAAAACAATAATATTAATGGAAAACAATGACCGGAGGTCAATCTTCAGTGGGAGATTGAATTATGATATCTGAATATCATGTAATATTTGAATGAATTTTAAAGCATGAATTCACTTTTCGATGAAATGTGTGTGACAGCTGATATTAAATGTTCATATATTCAGTGGATTTGTCTCCTGAGCTGTTTGTGATTTTCCCTCCTCAGGTGAGAAGCGGCGCTCATCGAAGCGCTTTAGGAACCACTGATGTCACTTCTGCTCTCGTTCTGCGTGGCACAAAGGCGTCAGACTGGAGCATTGTGGGAATGTTGTTGTAATGTTGTGTGTATGTTTCAAACGCACTGAGGAAACGTGTGTGTGCGCTGGAGTCGCTGCGCATCTGTACCTGCAAACGTACCTGTACTGCAGATATGCTGCAGATCTGTACATTTTAATGGCATATTTTGTTACATTTTATAATGGGAACAAGTTTTGGCTGTTTTTTAGTGGACATTTCCTAACCGTCTGTGGAAGGAGATGCCAGGAAGCTTCTCTGGACACATGACCGGCGACAGCCCATAATATGATTCTTCTATACAGACGGGACTCTTTATTGACAGAACACACTGTTGATTACGCTCACAGATGGAGTCATGATTCTCTCTTCTGCTGGTAAACACACACATCAGCGCTGATGTTTAAGCTGGTTTGTTTGCAATCTACACACACAAACGCTCGCTCGTAATGAACTGTTTCTCTGCTGTATCTGCATCTGTCTGAAACGCTCACGCTCTCTTCACACACAGACCGCCGCTGGAATCCAATAAAATGCAGCCAGATTTATGCTGTTTGTTTGAGATGCCATTGCTGTATGATAGGCCATATGAAGCTTGTTTCCCTTCGTTTTGCTCCATAGATTCTCTTCAGACTCGTAATAGCAGATCATGATGAATCTGAGCGACGGAAATGTCTCGCAGACGCCTCGAGGCCAAAAACACCCAACACACGCACAGACTTTGGGATATTTCTCATTACTGTGTGCTGTGGCGTAAACATTCCCCACATTTAGAAGTCGAGTGAACTAACACTTTAATCCTTCCTGCTGATTGTTTTTGCTTTTAGGCAGTTTTGGGTCACGACTGAGACGGAACTGAGATTTCACACGTTACATCACAAATACAGAGGATTATGTAATGTGTGTTTCATAATGTTGGACAAACGCATGATCTGTTCTTCAGAGAGGTCAGAGTCTGGAGGATTGTGGGTAGTGTAGTACTTCAGCTCAGTTTGGTTTAATGTGAAAATCAACTTCTCTGTGGTGAGAAACTGGTATTTTGACCTGTTGTGCTTAGTTCAGAGAGAAACACAGAACCGCTGGGTCGAGGATGAGGAACGCTGGAAGGTGAGCTTGTTTTCATGTTCGTCTGGAGAGGATTTTCTTTTTCCTGAAAATAATAATAATGTCATCATATTGGACTAAAACTTGCTGACTTTGCTCACACAGGGTATAACAACTAACCCTAAATCTGAGATCATTTTTGTACTTTTTGGGGGTTTTACTTGCGGTGTTCTCAGTCAGAAATAACCGGCCTACAGAAAATTGCTTGTACATTTCTCATTATGCTGTATTATTACTTAGTTTTTTTCAACTGCTTACACACATTTTCAAAACTTTGCCTCTTTTTTTTTTTTCAAAACTTTACACACAAATCCAAGAATTGCACACAAAATGCAAAACGCCTTGCATCTCTTGCAAAATGAAGCACTGCATTCAAAATATCACAAACACATCTCAAAAGCAAACATTTGCAAACACCTTTGCCATAATATTAATTCCTGTTAGATTTGTGTGTGTTTCATAGAGAATTGTGTGTCGTGTTTTGCAGAAAGTGTTTTTTGAAATTGAAAACTGAGTCAAGGCTGAGAATTAGTGTATGGTTTTGCAGATTCTGCTGTTTGAGTGTCAGCTTTCAGAAACTGTGACAAGTGAGGATTTTGTGTGTAAGCAGCTGAAAAAAACTAATATTGCATTTAATCTCATCATCAACTTTCTTTTCTTTCTTTGTTTTCTTTTAATTAGCACACTTGTTTCCACTCAAACACAGAATATTGCCCAAATTATCCACAAATAATGCCATTTCATAAAATTATACATCATTTTTTAAAAACTTAATATTGTCAAAATATTGCATATGATTAATCAGTTCCATTAAGAAACACAAAACCTGTGTGTGAGTGAGTGAGTGTGTGTGTGAGAGTGTGTGTGTGAGAGTGTGAGTGTGAGAGTGTGTGTGAGAGTGTGAGTGAGTGAGTGAGTGTGAGTGAGTGAGTGTGTGAGTGAGTGTGTGAGTGAGTGTGTGAGTGAGTGTGTGAGTGAGTGTGTGAGTGAGTGTGTGAGTGAGTGTGTGAGTGAGTGTGTGAGTGAGTGTGTGAGTGAGTGTGTGAGTGAGTGTGTGAGTGAGTGTGTGAGTGAGTGTGTGAGTGAGTGTGTGAGTGAGTGTGTGAGTGAGTGTGTGAGTGAGTGTGTGAGTGAGTGTGTGAGTGAGTGTGTGAGTGAGTGTGTGAGTGAGTGTGTGAGTGAGTGTGTGAGTGAGTGTGTGAGTGAGTGTGTGAGTGAGTGTGTGAGTGAGTGTGTGAGTGAGTGTGTGAGTGAGTGTGTGAGTGAGTGTGTGAGTGAGTGTGTGAGTGAGTGTGTGAGTGAGTGTGTGAGTGAGTGTGTGAGTGAGTGTGTGAGTGAGTGTGTGAGTGAGTGTGTGAGTGAGTGTGTGAGTGAGTGTGTGAGTGAGTGTGTGAGTGAGTGTGTGAGTGAGTGTGTGAGTGAGTGTGTGAGTGAGTGTGTGAGTGAGTGTGTGAGTGAGTGTGTGAGTGAGTGTGTGAGTGAGTGTGTGAGTGAGTGTGTGAGTGAGTGTGTGAGTGAGTGTGTGAGTGAGTGTGTGAGTGAGTGTGTGAGTGAGTGTGTGAGTGAGTGTGTGAGTGAGTGTGTGAGTGAGTGTGTGAGTGAGTGTGTGAGTGAGTGTGTGAGTGAGTGTGTGAGTGAGTGTGTGAGTGAGTGTGTGAGTGAGTGTGTGAGTGAGTGTGTGAGTGAGTGTGTGAGTGAGTGTGTGAGTGAGTGTGTGAGTGAGTGTGTGAGTGAGTGTGTGAGTGAGTGTGTGAGTGAGTGTGTGAGTGAGTGTGTGAGTGAGTGTGTGAGTGAGTGTGTGAGTGAGTGTGTGAGTGAGTGTGTGAGTGAGTGTGTGAGTGAGTGTGTGAGTGAGTGTGTGAGTGAGTGTGTGAGTGAGTGTGTGAGTGAGTGTGTGAGTGAGTGTGTGAGTGAGTGTGTGAGTGAGTGTGTGAGTGAGTGTGTGAGTGAGTGTGTGAGTGAGTGTGTGAGTGAGTGTGTGAGTGAGTGTGTGAGTGAGTGTGTGAGTGAGTGTGTGAGTGAGTGTGTGAGTGAGTGTGTGAGTGAGTGTGTGAGTGAGTGTGTGAGTGAGTGTGTGAGTGAGTGTGTGAGTGAGTGTGTGAGTGAGTGTGTGAGTGAGTGTGTGAGTGAGTGTGTGAGTGAGTGTGTGAGTGAGTGTGTGAGTGAGTGTGTGAGTGAGTGTGTGAGTGAGTGTGTGAGTGAGTGTGTGAGTGAGTGTGTGAGTGAGTGTGTGAGTGAGTGTGTGAGTGAGTGTGTGAGTGAGTGTGTGAGTGAGTGTGTGAGTGAGTGTGTGAGTGAGTGTGTGAGTGAGTGTGTGAGTGAGTGTGTGAGTGAGTGTGTGAGTGAGTGTGTGAGTGAGTGTGTGAGTGAGTGTGTGAGTGAGTGTGTGAGTGAGTGTGTGAGTGAGTGTGTGAGTGAGTGTGTGAGTGAGTGTGTGAGTGAGTGTGTGAGTGAGTGTGTGAGTGAGTGTGTGAGTGAGTGTGTGAGTGAGTGTGTGAGTGAGTGTGTGAGTGAGTGTGTGAGTGAGTGTGTGAGTGAGTGTGTGAGTGAGTGTGTGAGTGAGTGTGTGAGTGAGTGTGTGAGTGAGTGTGTGAGTGAGTGTGTGAGTGAGTGTGTGAGTGAGTGTGTGAGTGAGTGTGTGAGTGAGTGTGTGAGTGAGTGTGTGAGTGAGTGTGTGAGTGAGTGTGTGAGTGAGTGTGTGAGTGAGTGTGTGAGTGAGTGTGTGAGTGAGTGTGTGAGTGAGTGTGTGAGTGAGTGTGTGAGTGAGTGTGTGAGTGAGTGTGTGAGTGAGTGTGTGAGTGAGTGTGTGAGTGAGTGTGTGAGTGAGTGTGTGAGTGAGTGTGTGAGTGAGTGTGTGAGTGAGTGTGTGAGTGAGTGTGTGAGTGAGTGTGTGAGTGAGTGTGTGAGTGAGTGTGTGAGTGAGTGTGTGAGTGAGTGTGTGAGTGAGTGTGTGAGTGAGTGTGTGAGTGAGTGTGTGAGTGAGTGTGTGAGTGAGTGTGTGAGTGAGTGTGTGAGTGAGTGTGTGAGTGAGTGTGTGAGTGAGTGTGTGAGTGAGTGTGTGAGTGAGTGTGTGAGTGAGTGTGTGAGTGAGTGTGTGAGTGAGTGTGTGAGTGAGTGTGTGAGTGAGTGTGTGAGTGAGTGTGTGAGTGAGTGTGTGAGTGAGTGTGTGAGTGAGTGTGTGAGTGAGTGTGTGAGTGAGTGTGTGAGTGAGTGTGTGAGTGAGTGTGTGAGTGAGTGTGTGAGTGAGTGTGTGAGTGAGTGTGTGAGTGAGTGTGTGAGTGAGTGTGTGAGTGAGTGTGTGAGTGAGTGTGTGAGTGAGTGTGTGAGTGAGTGTGTGAGTGAGTGTGTGAGTGAGTGTGTGAGTGAGTGTGTGAGTGAGTGTGTGAGTGAGTGTGTGAGTGAGTGTGTGAGTGAGTGTGTGAGTGAGTGTGTGAGTGAGTGTGTGAGTGAGTGTGTGAGTGAGTGTGTGAGTGAGTGTGTGAGTGAGTGTGTGAGTGAGTGTGTGAGTGAGTGTGTGAGTGAGTGTGTGAGTGAGTGTGTGAGTGAGTGTGTGAGTGAGTGTGTGAGTGAGTGTGTGAGTGAGTGTGTGAGTGAGTGTGTGAGTGAGTGTGTGAGTGAGTGTGTGAGTGAGTGTGTGAGTGAGTGTGTGAGTGAGTGTGTGAGTGAGTGTGTGAGTGAGTGTGTGAGTGAGTGTGTGAGTGAGTGTGTGAGTGAGTGTGTGAGTGAGTGTGTGAGTGAGTGTGTGAGTGAGTGTGTGAGTGAGTGTGTGAGTGAGTGTGTGAGTGAGTGTGTGAGTGAGTGTGTGAGTGAGTGTGTGAGTGAGTGTGTGAGTGAGTGTGTGAGTGAGTGTGTGAGTGAGTGTGTGAGTGAGTGTGTGAGTGAGTGTGTGAGTGAGTGTGTGAGTGAGTGTGTGAGTGAGTGTGTGAGTGAGTGTGTGAGTGAGTGTGTGAGTGAGTGTGTGAGTGAGTGTGTGAGTGAGTGTGTGAGTGAGTGTGTGAGTGAGTGTGTGAGTGAGTGTGTGAGTGAGTGTGTGAGTGAGTGTGTGAGTGAGTGTGTGAGTGAGTGTGTGAGTGAGTGTGTGAGTGAGTGTGTGAGTGAGTGTGTGAGTGAGTGTGTGAGTGAGTGTGTGAGTGAGTGTGTGAGTGAGTGTGTGAGTGAGTGTGTGAGTGAGTGTGTGAGTGAGTGTGTGAGTGAGTGTGTGAGTGAGTGTGTGAGTGAGTGTGTGAGTGAGTGTGTGAGTGAGTGTGTGAGTGAGTGTGTGAGTGAGTGTGTGAGTGAGTGTGTGAGTGAGTGTGTGAGTGAGTGTGTGAGTGAGTGTGTGAGTGAGTGTGTGAGTGAGTGTGTGAGTGAGTGTGTGAGTGAGTGTGTGAGTGAGTGTGTGAGTGAGTGTGTGAGTGAGTGTGTGAGTGAGTGTGTGAGTGAGTGTGTGAGTGAGTGTGTGAGTGAGTGTGTGAGTGAGTGTGTGAGTGAGTGTGTGAGTGAGTGTGTGAGTGAGTGTGTGAGTGAGTGTGTGAGTGAGTGTGTGAGTGAGTGTGTGAGTGAGTGTGTGAGTGAGTGTGTGAGTGAGTGTGTGAGTGAGTGTGTGAGTGAGTGTGTGAGTGAGTGTGTGAGTGAGTGTGTGAGTGAGTGTGTGAGTGAGTGTGTGAGTGAGTGTGTGAGTGAGTGTGTGAGTGAGTGTGTGAGTGAGTGTGTGAGTGAGTGTGTGAGTGAGTGTGTGAGTGAGTGTGTGAGTGAGTGTGTGAGTGAGTGTGTGAGTGAGTGTGTGAGTGAGTGTGTGAGTGAGTGTGTGAGTGAGTGTGTGAGTGAGTGTGTGAGTGAGTGTGTGAGTGAGTGTGTGAGTGAGTGTGTGAGTGAGTGTGTGAGTGAGTGTGTGAGTGAGTGTGTGAGTGAGTGTGTGAGTGAGTGTGTGTGTGAGTGTGTGAGTGAGTGAGTGAGTGTGAGTGAGTGAGTGTGTGAGTGTTGTGCTGCTGCACTGTGTCCTCATGTCAGCTATATACAGTCTGT